GCTTCAAAGCGCCTCTGAATTTTATTTATAACAATCTCAGAGATCATCTACTTCAACCTTCTCACTTTAGAACTGAGAAAACCAAAGACCATGAGAGGTAAAATGACTTGCCCAGTGTTAACACAGAAGACACTAGCTCCTTTTGCTCTCATCCTCCGACCTCTTGCCCCAGATGACGTAAGGCTACACCACCCACTGAACTGAAGAAGATCCTCCTCCTCACCTCCAGTGGGTGTCAGAGGACAAGTTCCTAATATATTGTCGTGCGTAACACAAGAGAAATGTATTCCTAGCATTTCAAGGTAGATTCTGAACTGATTTTCCCAAAGATTGTTGTGCACAGTATTAGAGGTTTTTCAATATAATATTTACGCTAATTATTATTAATATAATTTCATAATTCTCTAGTATTATTAGCCTAATCCTCTAATTCAGGTATATTATGGTTTAAATTTGGTGGGTTGCCTGCAAATCTAACCACTAAGCATAGTGTTTCTGAGAGAGTAAGTTCCAAGTTCTAAACCATTTTACAAGTTTTAAAGTATAATCAATCTCATTCTAAGTTAGGAACTACCAATACACAAAGACTCAAAATTATAAACTGAATATGATAACTAAAAACACATAAAAAGCTTCATTTTATAAAAAGCTCCACCTTAGGGGTCATTTACTTATTTTTTGCTGAGGAACATTTGCCCTGAGCTAACATCTGTGCCAATCTTCCTCCACTTTACATGTGCATCGCGGCCACAGCATGGCTGACAAGTAGTGTACGTCTGTGCCCCGGATCTGAACCCACAAACCTGGGCAGCCAAAGCAGAGCACTCCAAACTTAACCACTATGCCACAGGGTCAGCCCCCAAGGGTCATTTATTTTTAAAATTAGTTATTCAGGAATGTTTAGCACAGGATATAAAAGATGTAAACACACATCTTTTTATTAATATTTCACTGGAAAACCAAAATAAGTCAAAAAGAATCAAACACATGTCTATACTAATCTAATTTAGGAAAAACATCAACAGAAAAACCTTCAATGTATATTTTCATGAAGTGAGCTATAAAAGGTAAGAAGAAAATTGTCATTTCATAAATGACAGGTTGATGATGTATATATTACAGAGTACTTAGTGCTAGTTCAAAAAATGTGTGGGTACAGGAATTATATCTGAACAGCTAAATGAAGTTCAAAGAACCTCCAAATACATTTTTCTCTCTTCTCTTGAGATAAAGCTATATGTTTCACAAGTTAAAATTAATGTTTGAGAATCTATTTTTAAAAATTTCTACTCAGTACGTTAAATCAATAGATATCCTTCACTCACTCATTTAATTGTCCACCAAAAAAAATTGAGCTCCTACCATTTGCTAAACACTATGCTAGTGACTTTGGATTTACGATAGTAAGCATCAGGTCAGTTCCTATCCTCAAGGAGTCTGGAAAAACCTCAAGTTAACTGTATTTACGCAAGTGATAATGACAGCTGAATTTCAGTTGGTCATTTAAGAAAACATTAAAAAATGTAATCAAATTAATTCTCAAAAAAGAAACTATACAATAGTAATCTTCAAGACATTTCAATAGTCTTAAAATTGATAGGAAATTTTCCCACAAAGTAACAAGAAGTACTGTTTTGGTAAAAGTTCCAATAATATAATATTTTAACAGCAGTTTTTGCTATGAAAATTAACTGAGTTAATCCTCCAACGAGGAAATCAAAAACTACTATCTACTGTGATAATGAAAATCAAGCACTGGGAAATAATACCCTAAACTATTCTGAAAATAAAGCAAAATGTATAATTAAATATAGTAGTATACAATATTAAGACATTGCCTCTGAATATATGGTTATTTACAAACCTGTATAATTTAAAAATAACTCCATATTATACCTTACAAATGATCGCAACATGTATTTTGGATTGTGTCATGTGAGAATTTTTCAATGAAAAAGGCCTTAATGTTTTCTGAAGATCTTATTTTTCACAAACTTAATTCAATACTCTACCTGTCTATTAACAAATCGTATAACTTTTTTATCAATATTAACTACACCTATATTTATAACTACCTATAGGTATTAACTATAATACCTATTAAATTTGCAATTATTAAAAACACAATGTATAAGAAACATTCTTCAATTTAGAGCCCTACGTCTCCAAAGCAAAATTCATTGTAAATCAGCCATTCTAACATGCCACGAAAAATCCTAATGACATTTTTTCATTGTATTTTACAATGAAATATTTTCAACATCCATCAGCTAAAATATTTATATTTTCTTTAAAAGCATTCTGAAAACATCTTTACTGGACTTATGCATACTAATTAGTGGCATAAATGGGCACTATCTCTATTTACATGTAAGAAAACCAAGGCACAAAGGTGTCCATTTTGTAAATTGCAAGGTCATTTCCCAACCAAGCAATTGATCCTACATCATCAAGTTATATTATATGTGCGCCACTTCCAAGTGCCATAAAACAATTACTGTACCTTAAACCAACTGCCTCTGCAATGCCTATGTGCAATTCCGTTGTATCAAGAGGGTTAGGGCAACAAGCTTAAACAAGAAAAGCTGGGAAGGAAAGACTAGGAAAAGAAAAGGAAAACAGTTCCTTTTGGCAGTGAATCATTTACTTTTAAATAATGAGATGTAAACAGTTTTTAACATAATCAAGTAACCAACAGTTGTTTTCCATTTTCAAAAAATATTTCCTCTTTCAGACAGATCATACAAAATTGGAGCCTACTCATCCTTGTAAACAAAACTTAGAAAACTGAGAACAAATTCCAGAAGTAAATACATGATACTGCAAAGAAACGAACTGAATAAAAAATAAAATTTAGATAAATTAAGGAAGGCTCATTATGGCAGTTAAAACCCTATCTTAAATATTAAATGCTTCCTTTCATTCAACGAAGGCTATGATTAGCAATCAAACATTCTGTTACTGAAAAATAAAGAAATACAAAACTTTTCTTATTCAAAACTTGAGAAATTTTATATCAAGTTCTTTATTCAAATCTCCGACATAAATAAAAATACTTTTCCTAAAAGAAACTTAAGAGCATAAAGGAAAAACTGTTCCCGAGAGTTCAGACTGAGACTGCGTTTGTAATTACGGTATAGTGCTATCAACGACAAGAAAAACGAAAGTTACCTAGCATTCAAGTTAAACTTAAGAACATTAGACGGGTTGAATGACCAATAAATCAATCACATCCATTACCGGAGAGAAATAAGACTTAGCCAATACGAGAATCTAACACCAAAGAAAAAATTAAAACATCATCCAAGACACACCTTATAGAGAAGAGGATAGGAGTAGACCGAGTCGTATTAAAGTATCTAGTGCAGCTGGGGATTAATCAATTAATCGGCTATAGGACAGGTTGTGAATGTTCAGACGGGCTTTCTTTTCATCATTATTCCAGTTCATCACCCGCAAGTGCAAGAGAAGGCGTCAGAGTACCGAAGCTAGGGGGCATGCTGTAGCAAGGGGAGAAGAAAAATGGGAAAGGTGCAATGGATGCTGCATAGTTGAATAATTATCTGGGTGGCACAATGGGCGAGTCCGGCCGACATCGGAGCTGAGTGAGCGGCTCCACAACTCTGCCCGAGACACCCCCCAATTAATAGGCATCGGAGGCGACCGCCGCGCTTCGCCTCCTCTCGCAGCGAAGAAAGAGAGCCCCGCACTCGCTGGCCCGTTATGTCCGAGGACGCAAACGCGCGCGCCGGCTCGCCGGAGCCCGGGCACGCAGCGCGCCGGGGCTCCGCCGCCGCCCCGTGCTGCAGCCCCCCCGGAGCCACAGGCCCGGGGGCGGGCGCGGGGGCGCTCAGGCGGGGCACCTCAGGTGAGACCCGCAGTCCCCCGCCTAGAGCCGCCTCGGGCGGTCCCTGCGACCGACACCAGGCGCGCCCGCCGGCCGCCGTCGCCCTCGGCTCCCAGCCCGGCTGGCGGGTGGGCGGCCAGACTCCGGCACCTGCGAATGGGGGTGGCGGCCGCGGGGGGAGGCGCCCGTGCCCGGAACCCCTCCGGACGGGAGCTCCACGCGCACCCCTCTCCGTTCCGGCCGGCGAGGAGAGTTCCTCCCCATCACCTCGCCCCCCAGAACACGATTCCTGAGAGACGCGCGCTCACCGTGAGATCTTGGGGGCTCCTGCCTTACCCCTTCTTCATGCTTCGGCGGCGGCCGCCAGTCCCCCTCAGCTCCCGGGACTCCACCTAGAGCCTCCAGGCACGTCAGGCTCCGGGGTGGGACCCGCTCCGGGCAGCGGCCGAGGCGCGGGCCACGGGCAACGCCGCCTGCGGCGCCCGCCGGTTGCCGGACCCACCGTGTGTTCGACGCGCGAGCGAACAACACCGCGAGCCGCCGCCGCCCCCCACCGCCCCCTCCCCGCGCGCGACGCTCCACAACCGGGCGCGGGGACCCGAGCCTGAAGCAGGGGGGACCGCTGGACTCTCGCCACCTAACCTCCCATCCTTCCCACGGGGAGCTATTCCCCGCCCATCAAGGTCTTCCAACTTAAGATTCTCACTTTCCTCTTCAGCCCCCAGGGCCCAGGTGCTACCGCGGTGCGAAACTCAGCCTCCGCCCACTCACCCATCCGTGGGGATGAATACCGCTCTTCCCCCCCTTTCCTGAGGCTTTGTGGTATTGCCCAATCCTCCGTTTGGGGGAGGGGGACGGGGAGAACAGTGCTTGGCCCGGGAATGAGGGAAGATGATAGCCAATTGAATGAACCATCCATTCAGGGGCGGGGTCAAAGAGAAGCCTGCCCGCCCCGCCCCGCCCCCTCGCTCCAAACTACACTTCCCATTATGCCTCTCTCACGTCCCACCGCTCTGCACGCCGGGAGGGTAGAACCTCGCGACCTCGGGGTATTTCGGGACTCGTAGTCTTTAATCTATCTGACTAGGTCCTAAAAGTTATAAGTTATTATAATTCTCTGTATTTCGCTAGATAAGTGTTTCCAAATTCTCAGGTCTGTTTCACTTATTCTAATGCTAATTAATTGGTTGTTTAGAAATGTGATAAATGACTTGCAAGGAGGTGAATAATGTGTTTCGTGGCAATCTGTCAGGACCTGGGAGCCGCTTCTTCTTCCGCCCGGGCCTGGTCTCCGCAGAGGATCTGTTGCCGTCATGTCGGCTGCGATTGCAGCTCTGGCAGCTTCCTATGGTTCGGGTTCAGGGTCCGAATCGGACTCGGACAGTGAGGGCGGACGGTGTCCGCTGCCAGCCGCCGACTCTCTCATGCACTTGACGAAATCGCCTTCGGCCAAGCCCTCTCTGGCGGTGGCGGTGGACTCGGCTCCGGAGGTGGCAGTTAAGGTAAGCGCTTCGGCCGCTGATGCGGTGCGGGAATTGTCGGCTTCTGCTCCAAAATCCCGCAGTCCCATTTGTTAGACCCCGGGTTACCTCTTCCTCAGTGCTGAGAAATAACTTGCTAACGCTTGGTTCGCTTCTCCTTTCTACGTGCCCCTTCCTCGGGAGATGCTGAGAATTGGAAGTTCAGGACAGAGCTCCACTGCTCCCCTCTCTTGCCTCCCGCCATCAGAAAGCAAGTGGGAAGAGGGGGTGAAATTTCGAATTCATGGATAAGGATGTGGCGTGGATAGAGCAGGAGTTATCTCAGAACATAAATAAAGCTAGATGAGGACTTCCCTAACTCGAGTATGTGCCCTCGCTTGAAGTGAGCAGTGACCTGGCTTTGTTTTGTGTTTGAAGTCAGAACTGGATTCTGATCCCGGCTCCACCACTTCTGTGGACTTGGGCAAGTTATACAATCTCCTCTGTTTCCTCCCCTGTGCAGTGAAGGTGATTTTAAAAGCACCTATCTATATGAGAGGATATTGTGAAGATTAAGTGAAATGACAGAAAGAAAGCTTATAGCACAGAGTCTAGTGTCTAATAAAAGTGCAATAAATGTTAGCTCTTGTGATTATATATGTCAATACATTTATAATACATGAGTAAAAGACCTTGGAGTCAAGAAACTGTGCATGATCTCAATTGAGGAAGGTGATAGAGGGAGAAAATGGGTTATATAGTTCATTTAACAAATATTTATTGAACACATGCTATTTGCGAGGAACTGTTCTAAGGGCTGAAGACACAGGCCATCAAGCCAGACATTTGTGCCATCATGATGCATACATTCTAGTGGAAGAGGCAGCCAATAAAATGTGAGAAAATAAAGTGGCTACAGATTGGATTGTGCACTGTGAAGGAGAAAAATAGAGTCCCATGGTAGAGAATAAGGTAGGAGCATGACTTCCATGGTTTGGTCAGGGATATGCTCTCTGAAAAGGCGGCTCTAAAGAACAAGAAGCAGCCAGCCATGTGCAAGCTAAGGCAAGATTTCCAGGCAAAGGAGGCAGCAAGCCTGAGAGAGCAAAGAGCCTAGTGTGATTGAAGAACTAAGGAAAGGTTGGCGTGTCGAAAGCCCAATGAGAGCGTCCACCGATTGGTAGTGTCGGCCCAGCAGAGCCTAATAGGGTGATCAGAAACTCAAGATGTGGTGAGGGGAGACAGTATACAAAATTCCTTTGTATTTAAGATGTTCCCAAGTCTAGTGTTATAACTTAGGTCTTTTACAGGTTTGTAGTGAGCTCCTTATGAATTTTATTATTTATTAACGGGCCTCTGATATGAAAGAATGCTTAGAATCCTCCTTTCTTTATAACAAAGCAAACTCCCCAAATTTATACCCCTCCAGCAACCTCCTGAATCTTCCTTCTTTCACAGCTCAGCTTTTTGGAGCTCTGTCATTTTCTCCTCCACCCAGTGCAGCCCAGCCTTACCTCTTGGGAGACTACTTACTCTCCCTGAGTGATGTGCTGGCCTTCTAGTTGTCGAGTTCTGCCATCTGACTTTAGTATTTGCATCAAGTGATGCCATTAGATAGTTCTTTCTGGAAGCTTTCTCTCCTTTTGGCTTCCATGGGGCTATCCTCAGTCTTCTGATCTCCTGTTTCTTCTTCTTCTCTCCCTTTCAATATTGGTGTTTCCTGGGACTCTGCCCTTAGTCCTCTCTACACCCCTCAAATTTTCCATGCCTTCACCCTCAGTCTGTGCTTCTGATGACTTACAGGTGAACACTGTGAAGTGGTTCACACAGGCTCTGGAATCAAGACTGCTAGGATTCAAATCCTGGCTCCAACACTTAACCAAATGGTGACCTTGAATAAGTTACTTGAGTGCTCTGTGCCTAAGGTTTTTCTCATCTGTAAAGTAGGGATTACACTGGTACCTATCTCACGGAGTTAAAGGCTTTTCTTAAAGCATATTAAGCACTTAGAACGGTACCAGGCACACTATCCTTATTATTTCCAATTCTAAACTCCTTGCTAGCTCCAGAACTATTAAACTTCTCTCCCAGGATGACACTCGGACACTTACAATCCAATGTGCTGAAAAATTAGCACATTTTCTTTCCCTCAAAATCCACTTCACTTGTTTTTCCCATTTTGATTAATCGTCCTGCAAACCCACCCCGCCCCCCGCCCCCGTTAGTCCAGCCAAGAACAAAGGGGTCTTCCTCTTCTCTTCCTTCTTCCTCAGCCCCTGAAGGTAGTGGTTCAACTGGTTCCAACATTTCTGCTTCATTTCTCTCAAATCAGTTCCTTCCTCTTCATCTTCGCTGACACAGCCTTACTTCCTATCTTCCTTACCTCTCTCAGGCGTCATTCTTGACTTTCTTTCTCCCTTAACCTCTACTTTTGGGTAGTGGGACCTGTCCATTGTGACACAGTGGTATTTATCAAATCTCTCTTTCCTTTTCTGCTGCCACTGTTTAGTTCAGGTTCTTATCATTTATCTTCAAGACAATTATAATATCCTTCTAACTGATCTTTCTGCTTCCTCCTTTCTTGTCTCCTGGTTCCATACCGCACTCTTTCCTTCACAGTGCACCCAGAGTGATTTTCTCAATTCCAGCGTTATTCTATCACTCCCCTGCCCAAAGACACCAGGTTGCCTACTGCGTAATTTCTGAGTTCCTTGTGAAACCCGTGAGACCTGCCATTCTTTCATGCTGAACTCTCGACAAAGCCCCAAAAGCCTTGTTTTCTTTTTTCCTCTCAAGATTGTGCCCATACTAGTCTCTCTGCCTAGAAATCCTTTGCCCCATGCCTCTCTCCTGCCCAAAAAACCTCTGCTCTACTCAGTCTCAGCGCACGCATTTCCTCCTCTGTCTGCCTTCGCCCCCTTTTCCTACCTCAGTTGTAGCACTTGCCACATTGCTGTCATTTGTTGCCTTTTTTCTTTCCCCTGGACTGTTGGGAGACCCTGGGGACCAGAGATTCTTGTGTCTTTTCCTTTTCATGTCTCCAATGGCTAGTACACAAGATTGAGGGGAATATATGAGAAAGAATGAATGAAAGATTACATGAAAAAGAAAGTCTTGAAATGGCATGTACATTGAGAATCAGTGTACATTGACTGGGTGAGAGTGAGGGGATGTCTCTAGAACTGACTTAGTTCAATCACTTCAGGTTATAAGTAAGGTACTCCAGAAGGAGAGTTTGCATAAGGTCCCAGGGGTCCATTAGAAGCAGAGCTGGGGCTAGACCCCCCAGTGATCTAGGTTCTGTGATGAGAGAGTCAGGGACATTGATCATCGTTAGTCTGTGAACCAACACCTGCTTATATGCCCAAAAAAACCCACAAAAGCCTTATACATAGTGAACGTAATGATAGAAACATGACCAACAGAGGCGATGTGAAGCATGCAAATAAGTTCATCTGTATATGACTAATTGTATTGTGACTAATAGCAAGCATTTTGGCAGAGAATAAACTTATGCAATGTTTTTAATCCATTTCCCTGAACACTAATGAGACCAAGCATCTTTTCATATATGTTATCGGTGATTTGAATTTCTTTTTTCTTATTGAAGCAACTAATGGGTTGTCTTCTTCCTTTTGATTTGTAGGAGATCTTTGTATTACTGGCTACCATCCTTTGTCAGTTATGTGTATTACAAATATCTTTTCCAGTTTGTGGCTTGTCTTTTCACTCTCTTCACTGTCTTGATAAACAGAAGTGGTTTATTTAGTGTAGTCTTATCAAATTATTCTTTTATGGATTGTGGTTCCTGTCTCTTGTTTGAAAAATCCTTCCTTATCCCAAAGTCTTAAAAATACTCTCCCATTTTATCTTTTGAAAGCACCATGTCTTTACTTTTTTTGGGGGGGGGGGCACTTGAGCTAACATCTGTTGCCAATCGTTTTTTCTTTTTTTCCTTCTTCTTCTCCCCAATCCCCCCAGTACGTAGTTGTATATTCTAGTTGTAGGTCCTTCTGGTTCTATGTGGGACGCTGCCTCAGCATGGCTTGATAAGTGGTGCTAGGTCTGTGCCCAGGATCCAAAACGGTGAAACCCCAGGCCACCATAGCAGAGCGTGTGAACTTAACCACCCTGGCTTGGCCACAGGGCCAGCCCCTGACCATGTGTTTGTTTTTTACATTTAAGTCATAAATCCACAGGGAATTAATTTTTGTATATGAGGTGACCATTTTTAATAATTGTGGCTCACTCTTTGGTAGGGCTCTCTGCCTGCCCCTCCCCCCTTTTTGTTGTTGTTATTCCAGAATGTCTTTGCTATTCTTGGCCCCTGTAATTCTATATACAGTTTAGAATTGACTCATAAAGTTCTACTAACACCAGGTGGGATTTTGTTTGGAGTTGCATTGAATCATAGATTCAATCGTTTGGAAACATGTTATATCTATTCATTCGTTTAGCTCTTCTTTAGGTTTTTAATTTCTTCCATAGTTTATAATTTTCTCCATCAATATCTTGTACAGTTTTGTTGCAGGTATTTCTAAGTGCATCTTATTTTTATGCTATTATATTAATAAATAGCGTTATTTTTTCCATTTATGTAATTTTCTAACTTATCTTACTCCTTACATGGTCATATCAGCTGCAAATATGACCGTATCTTCTTTCTTTCAACTTTTATTTCTTTTATTTTTTTTTCTTGCTTTGCCATGCTTGCTAAGATCTCCAGAAAGAGCAAAAATAAAAAGATGGAAAAAGGATATATCAGGCAAAAGAAGGTGGCAGCATTGGTTGTATTAAGATCAGTAAAATAGAAAAAGGGTCTCTTCATAATGATACAAGATTCGATTCACAAAGAGGTATTTAAAAATTTTCAATTCATATGCACCTAATAATGTAAGCTCAAAATATTTAAGCAAAAACTGATAGAACTACAAAGAGAAATTAGCAAATCTGTAATCACAGTGGGAGATTTTAATATACCTCTCTTAATAATTGATAGAAGAAACAAGATATATCGGTAACGATACAGAAAATTTAAATAA